GGGTCAAGTGGGGCAAGTGGGGCAAGTGGGGCAAGTGAGGCAAGTGGGTCAAGTGGGTCAAGTGGGTCAAGTGGGTCAAGTGGGGCAAGTGGGGCAAGTGGGTCAAGTGGGGCAAGTGGGGCAGACCCATTAATCCCCCCCAACGCCGACACTCTCAACAAATTTGAGCAAGATTGGAGATGTAGGCGACAAGCAGACCAGACTGGGCAGTCTAACCCAAGTACCGTCCTCTTTATCTCGGGCCTTCACGGGTGGTCGCCAGGTGCTGAGTTCTGGGACCGTCGCCGCCGACGCCGTAGGCGCCGCCGCATCTTCGAAGCAGTTGTGAATACGGTGGTACAAGTGGCAAACGATGTGGTAGAAGCAGTGGCTGGGCTAGAAATCAGGTTTCTTGTTCACAGATGTCCGTTGCATTCCACCCAACGCCGTCTGTCCTTCTGAGGTGACAGCTGCTCTTTCTTGTGCGGGCCAGGGCGGCAACTTTGCAGCCACAGGCTACACACGGTCCATCAACGGCAACGTCGCCTGGTCGATCGGTCTGGCGGGCGGCAGCTCAAACATCATGAAGGACATGCTGAATGGAAGGAAGCCCTCAGGCTGGATCTCCTTGGGCGCTGGCTTCTCGGTTGGAAGCACCACGGACATTTGGTGGGCGGGCGCCGGCTTTGGTGGATCGCTTTCCTGCAGTCCGGGATTTATGGGCAGACCTCGTCAATGTAAGCTGGATGTCACTGTAGCCACTTTGGGCTGCGGCAATGTTCCAGCGACTCACGCGGCGTGCCCCTTTGGCAGGAACTTTGGCGGCATGACCTGCTCGAGCAGTGGTGGCTACTTCGTGTCCATCATGTGCTGCGGCTTCGATTTGTCTACAGGTGGCAACACCTGTCGATAGGTGACTGGGGCTTCCCCATTCAGCTCGGGGCCTCCAGAAAGGTGTTCCCCTCGACCTCCACAGAGGAGCAGCGCTTGGGCGCTTGAGCAAAATTACGGCAGTGGTTGGTAGTGGTTTGTTGCAAGAGGATTGTTTCTGCAAAAGCTACAACCTGAAGTGGAGTGGAGACTGGAGGGAAGTTCTGGAGAGTCCTGGTAGGTACGGCAGCGGCCAGGCCTGAAGCCAAGTGCTCTGATTGCTCAGCCGCCTCATAAGGCTCATGATTCTAGCAGAATTGGCCGCCCCTGCTTCTGAATATCAGTACTGTTACTCTCTTCTCGCCCCCTTGCAGAAATCTGTGTTGGCATGGGTCATCACAGGCGGATCGGGGGAGCACCTGCTGCCGACCGGGTTCATATTCAAGTGTTCTTGTGAGCGTCACTGGGTTTCAGATGAAGGGGTGATACTGAGGCATGGCAGTGGCGGGGGGTTGTCAATCCTCGGCCTTCAGCAAGTAGTAGTAGCAGTATGCTTTTGATGTTGTAGATTCTCCCCACCAATGTCCCACCATCCCGGGTGGATCGTTTGAGACCTCGCAGGTCTTCCTCATGCATGTCAGAGTTGGCAACTGAATGAGACTCGGGGCTCGAAATCCAGCGAACTCCCATGAAAAACATGTTTTTGACTTAAAGTTGAGATTTGGAGAGATTCATAGCCTCTGCTGAACTTCTCCTTCACGACCCACGACAGTTTGTGCAGAGGTCCTTGCGGCGACGCTTTTTGCAGCAAGATGCTCAGGACCGGCGGAATGACGTAAAAAGAGAGCGTCCCGATGTTTGATTTGGGCAAGACCCTTGCAGAAAAAGTCGCATAAGTGCAGAATGTGCAATCCTGGCACTTTGCGATTGGCTGTGAGCACGATGACGACGCTGCACAGGCAAGCAAGTTTGAACATTTCCCGATTTCTGACTCTCCACGTGTAATAAGGTACTAGTCATCAACATTACATATTGATGTTCCACACGTCAGTCAAAAATAGTGCGAAGTCGCGCAATTGCACGAGACAGTCTTGCAACCAAGTAAAGGGCAGCAATAAAAATGAAAGCTTTTCAGGGCTGAGAAGATCCAACTCTGGCCATGGAGACTGCTTTTGCTGGCCGTGGCCCGTCGGCCGGAAACTTTCTGCAATCTGTTGGCTGGAGCTTCGGGTCGTTATTGAATTTCAGGTCCACGGTGGGCTGCTTGGACTCGTGGAGGTTGCCTTACCAATGCGTTTCCAAAATCCCACGCCTGAACCTGCTTTGGGCATGAACGGCAGGACATCGAAAACCTCAAGGATGAGGCATGGAACGTGGCTGCAGTGACATTGACATTTGCTTCACCTGTGCGGGTGCATGTCGACAGGCTGTCAGTGTACCAAGCCAAGCGCGCAAGCCGAAGTTGACGTTGATGCCTCAGCAGTCAAATCTCCCCTTCAATGTCAGCTAGTTGGAGAAGTCAGGCACCAGCACTTCTTCGAAGATAATGGCCTGAAGAAGGTTCGGGATCCACCCAGTGACACCATCCTGACTATGGCTGTTCTAGGTCATTGGAAACTGTGCAAAGTTGAAGTTCAAGGGCGAAAGCCACGAGTTCGATGACTTGAAGGTGCCCGTTTTCACCTTGCACTGCGCAGCTCAATGCTTCAGTGTACCGCTTCCCATGCAGAGGTGTTGATGGCAACATACAAGAAGTGGCTCAAGGAAGTGTATCCCTTTGAGGACTTTCTAGCAGAGAATAAGGCTGTTCGGAGGGCTCCCCAGCGTTTTGGACAGGACAACTTCGAAGACATGATCTGGAAGTCCCGTGCCGTTTTAGAGAAAAAGGATCCATTATGACTTACGATAGAATAGGACATAGCTGGTCGTGTCAACCATGATACAAGTTTGATAGGAGAAGGACGACAAGGGCGTGGTGAGCGATCCTCGCGAAGAACTTGTGAAGCCGTATCCTGTGTTGAAGCTGGGATGCTGCTGAGCGGCTGACAACTTTCTCATGGTGTCTGTTTGTGGGAAGCACCTAGAGTTGGCATTGAGGCTCAGGCTTTGGTGGTACAAGCAGTCTACAGCTCAGGCCGGGTCCCAATCAGCCCCTGCTGCCAAGTTGCAGAGGTTGTTTTGCCAGGATCCGAAGCAGACGGAAGAGGACACTTGCATTTCAAAGCGTGTTTTACAGTTTATATGCCGCTGTATGCTTGAATCTTGAAGGGGAAGCGCGACTTTGACACCGACACGGCCAAGCGTGCTTGGAACCAAGATGAACCTAGTTGTCCGTCCCATGTTTTAGGTTGTCTTGACAGGTTGCTGAGAGCCGTGCCCGAGCATTGGAGCGCAAGAGGTTCAAGCGACGCGCACCATTGTCCAGCAGAAGCGTGCGATGCGGCTCGTGCATGTGAACAGGCAGCGCGACCAGCGCGAGGCGGAGGAACGGGAAGCAGCGGCTGCGGCCGCGCAGGCTATGCAGGCGACCGTTCCTGACTTCGAGGCGTGGGAAAGTCTTTTAAGTAGCATCCGCACAGAGCCCATGCTTGTTACAGGAGGAGGATGTCTTGACCTGAGCTCCAGAAAAGTCTGAGGCTTACAAAAAGAATCCCAGCCTCCAAGGTCTTTGACTTCGATTGAGTAGACTCTGAGCAGAGCTGAGTTCTTCGAAAATTGGGTAAGCTTGGTGCTCAACAAGAAGCCCAAGCAAAAGCTTAAATGGGGAACTTTGGGGAAAAATGCCCTTGTTTCGCTGACTGTTTTGCTGCTGCCTGCCAATCTGCCAGAGTATCCAGGTCTGAGGCCGACCCACGTCTCACAGTGTGTTCTGAATCAAGCACTGCTACCATGAGGACGTTACTTGGTGCTGTCAAGAAGCCAAAACGGACCCTCAGTACAGGTCAAGCTGAAGTTACGGAAGTGCAGCTTCGGAGCCCACCCATGAGCCTCCTAGAAGCTTCCGATCAGTGAAGGCTAACCTGACGCAAGCATTGCCCTTTTTCAAATGACGCAGACACAGCATGGTGTGCCAGCTGTGGGTACCCATGGCCTTTGGTTGGACTTAGAGGCCTTGCGCGTACTTGTGCAACGCCCAGATTGCATCCTCGTTCTTGATGTAGGATTTTGTGTCCTGTGATGGACCACTTCAAGAGGCGGGAATTCGTAGGTATCCCCATGTCTCACGCTGATCCATGCATGACCAGGAGAACCTGCGCTGCCTAAGCTTTCCGAGTCATTGGTGGGGAGCTTGGCATGGTGAGATGCGTGAGAACACAGGCTTCATTGAACAGGCCAGCAGCGTACCAGAGCGAAGCCTTGCGAGCTTTGATAGGTACCGGACTCGGCTTGCCCCAGTGTCGTACATCTCAGAAACGCTCCAAAGCTCTTTTCTCAGGCAAGCGCGGCCGGCTACCAGGTGCAAGCTGCCGAGCCTTGCCAGTGCCCAGATGACCGAACGGGAGGTCGCCGTGTGGCTGTCGCTGGCACGCCGGCTTCCGAGCAGGCCAGAGAAGTTAAAGCTTTGCCACAATTTGTCACGCCTTTCCTGGCTGTCAACCTGAAACACTGTCGGGCATTTCAGGTTCCCCGCGTCAGGTCTGCTCCGAAGTTTGGGTGTCTGTTGCGTGCGGAGGGAGATTGAATGAAAGCTGGATTTTCAGGTGCCAACCACTTCAGAGTTTTGCTAATGCAGAGCAGCTGGCTGCAGCACCAGAGCCAGCTGCTTACAGAGTAGAATAGCTCGCTCCTTTGCTGTGCGCAAGCTGCAAAGGTCCCGGCTGGGCGTTGTGCGTGGCTGGGCAGTGTACGAGCGTCAGGACTGGCCGGGACATTTTGTCTCTTGGACGGCGATCAAGCGTGAGTCGAGCTGTGAAACCTTGCGGTGCAGAGTACGGCAAGTTTAGGTTGCAGAGCGCTACTGGTGGAACAGCCATCCCGACGGGCAGTGGGTGGATCTCACCCCGAGACCAGAGGCTAATGGTCGGTCGAATCTGGGCATGGCTCGTTTGCACCAGCATGCGATTGCATTGTCCGTCAGGGTCTGCCGCAGCTGCTGCTGGTCGAAGCTGAGGGCAGTGAGAAGCCGCGAGGTGCCCTCACGACTCAGCAGGCCAGACTGGAACTCATGCAACAGAGAGTGAAGCTGTGAAGCATTGCCAGCACGGACCTGAAGGCTGCCTTTGCCGCACGGCTCCTGAGATGGCGCTTCCCAGAGCTAGTCCCAACGAACCCAGTGCCGGCGCAACCGTCGGCATCACGGCCAGTAGAGCAGCCAGCAGCACAGCAGCCAACGGCACCGCCGAAATCGCAACAGTCAGCAACACCGCAGCGAGCAAAGGCGTGCCCGGGATGAACCGGAAATGACACACGACTGCGTGCATGTTTCAGGTTTTGGATTATTCTAAGTGGAGCAACATTGTGGGCGACTCAGATCTTTTTGCCAGCTTCTGGCAAGCAGCTTGATTTTGTGCGGCGCACGTATTTCCAGGTTGACTCAGACGAGGAGGATGCTCCAAGAGCAAAGGAAGATGAAGCAGATGTGGGAGTCAAGGAGAGGGGGCAGCTATAGTCTTGTAGGCGCAAACATATGATGTGAAGGACCTGGCCGAGGGAAGAAAAACGAAGAAGCCTCTCCTGCCTGTGCCAGACTTTTTGCAAGGCAGCACGGAAGGAGGAGGTCGGGGGATGCACCAACTTTTACTTCTTTTGCAAGCAATACAGAAGTTATTATTATTGGTGTTATTGCCATTATTCTTATTACTGTGATTATTATTGTTCTTAACTGAGTACTACTATTAATAGTGGTTTTTTTTTATCAGTAGTATTACTATTGTGAGCTCGGTCTCAGACAGCAAGATGAGATCACTGAGATGGGCTCCTCCACTGCAGGTGGCACCAACTGTTTGCTGTCCTTGCTGAAGATGTTGGATACCGAAGACAAGAAGGAGGATCGAGAACAGAAGAAAAACTCGTGTGAAGATTAGGTTGGATGTTGCAGGAACATGCGCACAGCCTGGCCCAGGCAACGCTTGCCAGTTTCAGCCAGTTTCATGTTACTTGCAGAAAGGATAGTTTGGCAAGGTCTTTGGGCGAAGCTTCCATTCTGGGATGTTGGACCAGCACAGGCATGGCAGTTTGCTGTGTAGTCTTGTCCTCCTCAGTCTATTGTGACGGATCATTGCGCCACAAAGCATGGCGCACCGGCAACAGGCAGGGCTTCTACAAGCGCTCATTGGCCAGACTAGACAAGGCCTAATTGTAGGTCTGCGTTGTGCTGTCTTCTCCCTTCTTGTGGACAGGGGACGTTCGTGGTGGCAGCCCCAATGCTGTGTGTTTCTTTTGCGAAGAAGAGAAGATCTGCTGAAGCTCGTTGCTAGTTCTCTCAGGTGGTGCTGGGGATTGGCTCCGTGCTTCCCCTGCTGAATGCAGCGCAGGGCTTCCGCGGGCTGCTGTTGGAATCGTCCGGTGCCCAGAATCCAAGAGATTCCAAGCAGAGAATGCCCGCCTGTCTAAAGGTCAACGAAACTTGCGGAGGCCCTGACAATCTGTACTTATCCTGTGGATCGCATATCGATGAACCTGGAGGTGGCTCAGCAGGTGCTCAAGGCCAACAAGCTCAGCTTTCCAGTGGCTGTGCCCTGGCACTGCTTAGCGATTCGGGACTCCAAATTGCTTGGCTTACCTTCTCTGGCCCAACAGGGCATGGCCTAAACCATTCATGCTGAACCTTGAATCCGAAACCCCGCACCTTGAGCCCCAGACGCGTTGACCCTAGATACCCTTTCCAGGCCGCATGGACCTGGAAGCGCCCAAACAGTTACGTAGAAGCTTAGCAATGTTCAATTGCAAGCCCTAAAGAATCTGTCAAAGAAGGTCTAAGCCTTGAAGAACTCTGACTAACGTCAAACACACGACGCCCCAAAGATGATTTCTTGAATGCCAAGTCAGAAGCGGTCCTAAGAACTTGAAGGCTAAAACCACTCAACAACTCTGATCCCTAACAAGCCTGGGGACTCCCCCCTCCTTGAACCCCAGGCAACCATTTGGCCCTGAACCTGTGTTAAGAAACAGTCAAAGGCAAGCTAAACAGCCCTAATTCCTGAGAGTCCCAAAATAAGAAACCCCAGCACTGTAGAACCCTCAGCCCACGATTTATCCTGAACATGAACACTGCAAACAACCCAAAGCGTTGAACCGTACTGGCAAGCCTTGAACAGGGCACTCCGGCCAAATCCGCACAGCACTGAGCCCAGCACCCTCAGCTTTCTCCATTGGAACGTCAAGTGGCCATACGGGCATTGGTTGCAAAAGGAACGCAAAGGTGCCATTCAACAGAGAAACTGAGCCGTCCGTGAAGAATCCTAAGCCTTATTCCCTGAAGGGCCGCAAGCACTGAACTCTCGGCAGCTGAACCTAACGTAACCATACCCTCCCAACTTGAGCCCAAAATGATGAACAATGATGAACACGCAAGCCGCGAGCAAAAAAGAGAGGGGGGCCTAAATTAGAAAGAGCCCTGCTTTCCACATGTGCACATCTGTTGTATTCTCAGCCCGCAGTTTTTTAGGTGGTCAAGGAAGGCTTTGACAAGGCCTGTCTGGCGGAGAAGCGTCTTAGCATGTGATAGCAGCCGTGCACAGGAAGAGGCCGTGCATGATGCGATTTCAAGGTGCTGGCGCTGCGAGAGTTTCGCAAGCCTTGCCAATGGTTGCATGTGCATGAGGCAAGTTCCAAAAACAGCGGAGGTCTGCGTGGTGACGGAGAGGTGCAGAGGGAGCTGAAGAAAGTCATGCAGCTGTGATTGGGTCAGCTGCACCCCTGCAGGATGGCACATGATCTGCTGTCAAACGGCATCGTGCCCGCATGTATATCTGCTCACAAGGCCATACGACCTTGTCCGCTCCTTTGTTCATATAGCTTCGTCTGGAGTATGGCACAGGCCCTGCTCAGCTGCGGGGTGACACGCATCCGGCATCTTCCCAAAACAGTTGAACTGTTGGCAGCACCGGCCAGGGACCCATGCGTACACAGGATTCATGGCAGTTGCATGGAGAACTCGATACTTCTCCTTAATTGCTCTCGAAGGCAGAGCTCCGTTCAGAGCGACTGCTGGACTTCGACCTGCGGCCGTTCAACACCTTACGTTGTTCTCTTAAGCAACGGAGTGCTCAAATTCATGATTTTCCAGCTCTTTTGGTTTTGAGGCCACACATCCTCAAACGACAAGGCAGATTTTTGGTGGTGGCCGGTCGGCTACTGATTCAGCCAAGGGTGAGTCTTCCTGAGTTGCCTTCCGCGCCAAGGTACGCATGGAAAACCAGCCCAACATGCAGTGTTCCCTGTTGGGCCCTGCGTTCCCTGGCAGCACTCGAAGAAGCAGGCCTGTCCGTTCCCTTGTGATCCGGTGTGAGGAAGACGCTCTGCGGATTCGACTTCGACCGCTCGCCAGAAATTACTTTGGATGAGGCTCACACTAGTCTGTGGAGAGACTCGAAAAAGCCCTTCAAGCGTTCAAGCGAAGGTCCGAAGACCACTGAAGCTTCAAGCTGACAAGCGTGGGCGCTGCAATTGTGACCTTGTCGCATTCAGGGAAAGAAAGAGATTAATGTTTGGATCACGATTTTTCCCGTCATCTCAGGTGTTGCTGTTTGGTGGGTTGCAAAGCCATTCACCCGGCATACAAGGCGCTGTGAAATTCTGGAAGTGACGTCATGAAGGTTTGACAACGAGGAGTACTCCACACGACCACAGCTGGAAAAACAGAAGCCATGAACTCAGGCAAGCACACGATTCCTTCTGAAGACATGTGTGTAAGGAACTTTGTATGTAATTTGAGCAATGCTCGCAGTTGAAGCTCAGAGTCTAAGGCCGCCAGGGCGCAACGAACGCTCAGAATGGAAGCAGGCAATCCATTATTTGGCAGGCCCCGTAGGGGATGGAGCGGCGTAGAAGCTTTTGGTTTTGATGAGCAGACGTAACGAGTCTTCAGGTGAGACATCCGTCTTCGAAGGAGACGTTCTTGCCGACTCCTCATCTTGTCGCAATTTGGCTTGGTCCATCCAGCAGCCATGGTCCAAGGACCTGCAGGTCTCCGTCACGCCGCGCTTCACTTTCCGCATGATGCAAGAGAGTCAGGAGCCCGGTTGAACAGCAAGCACAGGCTAACCCCAAACCTCACATCCTATCCCCATTACGCTTTTACATCATCTCTCAACGCACCTGGTGAATCAACCTTTGCAAGCCCGCAAATGACCTTATTATAGATCTCATCAAACGCCACCACATTAAAAGGTGAATAATCAAATTATGGTAAGTTTTCTCCCGCATCTTCATAAGCTGCAATACTGCAAGCTGATGACAAGTTGTTGCTTCCACATCCTTTTCCTGTAGAAGTCGGTTGGTTGGAAGCACAAATCGGATATTGTTGCCCATCCGCGGGAAATACTTACCTATATAATTCTGTCCCATTCCCGGAATTTTCCAAGAATTATCATTGGATTTCTTTTCGCAATCATTCGACAAATGGTCTTCGTATCCCATTCGTTGTCAACCTCAACATTGACATTATGTAACTTTTGCGAATTTCCTGCAATCTATTGAACTTATATGTGTATAGCTGTGTAGGTAGAGTGGCAAGTGTTTTCTTGTTTTCAAGTCTCCTGCCGCCAACATAAAGTCAAAATTCGAGTAGTCCTTCTCTCCGCTTACGCAGAAACTTACATCTAGAGGCTTTATCAACGTCTCAACGTCGTCTTTGTGCATCGTCAGACCGTCGTTTTAACACTATACAATCATATGCACCTGAATGTAACATCATGATGTTTCAATAGCAGCTCTTTGTCTTGATGTAGATAAGCCCATTCATTAGCATCTTCTTTTCCGACCTGCGTTGCACGTTTCGTGTTCTTCCTTCTGTCTCTCTTCTTTTTTCAAACTTGTTATTCATCCAGTTCGTTGAGTGAAACTCGCTTATAGTATTGGTCTTCCCGCCTTCAATGCTCTGAAAATGATACACCTCTCTCAATGAAATGAAGGTGCTCCTTCGCTGGCTCTAACATGCCAACGCTTAAGCTTCATATTCTTTGGTGTCTGTTTGTTAAAGTCTTTGCCATCTTTAATTCCGGTTATGTATACGTCCTCTATGATTTTCTTGCAATGAGCTCTGAAGAAAGTAGCTCTGATTGATAGGGTAGATGAGCTTCTGTATCAAAACAAAAAATGCCCAAATAATCCGAATCCTTTTTTTTTTCTCCCTCAATTCTGTGTCCTTGGTTCTCATTCTATCTGTTGTATGCAGGGGTTTCTTATAGTAATCACAAGAAATCCTGCGGATTTTCATAAGTCCTTTTTGTACTTTAACATGTTTTGGGTCATTGTGTTATATGTACCTATTCACTATCTTACATTTTCCTCCAGGCTTTCCTTTGACGAGAACTGTGAGACAATGTTGTATTTCACATATTCTTACAACTTTTGTAGTAAAATCTACATGCGACATGTCCGCGCCGCCTGATACTTGAAGCCAAAACTGATATGTATAATTACGAAGATTTGAAACAACGTATGCAGGGTTTTGGCCAAGAAAGCCGACACCTTAAGAAATAATAGAAGCATTAGAAGAAAGCCGACACCTTAAGAAACAGTAGAAGCATTAGAAACAGCCGTGGAGTAATTAAAGAGTAGCATTGGCTTCAATAGTCTGGATACACATTTCGACGATGGATTATATTTATAATGAGATGGCGCCTATGCCATAATGGAGACTAGCCCGATCTTCTTGTTGCAAGTTTGAAGATTCAATAGCATTTTATAAGATGTTGCTTAATCTGGATTGCTGTTAAAGAATTTAAGTTAAGTTACCATAATGGATGGGTATGCATAGTACTTAATGTGGCGTCCCCATTATAATAACTTAGATTAAGTTATTTGACACAAGAAGCCTCGCAAGGCTTGCAGAGTTCGCGACTGAGTTTACAATACTTTAAATGAAATCTATGCTTGTATATGTAGATAAGAATTGCTGTAACCGTCTTGATTCCTGATGGAAGTCGATACAAGTATAACGGTTTGGAAATGAAATGTTGTCCGAACGGCGAAATATGTAAGGACATGGAAAGTTGTAAAACATGAATAACGGCAAAAAATGATAAATCGTGTCAGGGGTGCTTAAATGATATGAAAAGATACAAAGAAAATGCAAGTCTTCACAAACCTTTTCAACCCAAACTATATAACAAACTGTTAATACACAAAAGAGGTATAATATAGTAAAGGATGTCAGATATGGATGATGATGTTACGTCAATCAAGCGCCGTAGCAGTCAAAAGATTCTAGAGGAGTTTTAACTTGTTGGTACAACGGTTGAACGAAGGCAAGTTAATCAAACTATTGCCAACAATAGCGAGATATAATCCTTCGAAAAAATGGACTGCATACGGGTGAAATTTTTAAGTCACAAATCATAAGATGTATTCTTAGATACCGTATTTTACAGATCACAGTAAAACATATGGATGTATTTCGCACAGTAAATGAGCAAGATTAAGCAACACAAAGCAGGAGGTGGAATATCGCAAATTCACAACACTTGAAGTTGATAAAGCATGCTATGAACGTCTAATCTACGGTCGTACCATACATTGAACACTGTTGTGCAACAATGATTTTTGTAAGGAATGGAAGCCGTTTTTTTTTTGGATGCGAGGACAATACACATGATGAGACGAGACGAGGAAGTGAACAGCGTAGAAAACAAGACCCAACAGGGTCCGCACCACTTTATGCAAAAAGGAATGGATACACATTAAATAGCAACTTACTAAATTAGTTAGTAGGATTCTATGTACTGAGCACAAATGCCTTGAGAGGCTTCTGTCAAAGCAATATTCCCAGTTCAGGGTTATAGAGTTTGGATATTTTTCTTTTAGGGTCGCTGATCCCAGACCTCACCAAAGAATGGTTGAGGGTCAGGATTGTTTAGGTCGTTTTGGTTTCGAGATTGTGTTCGGGATCGCACAAAAGCGAAGTGAAACGGCATGTAGAAGACAACCGTACCAGCGCCTGTGGCATGGCAACTAATATGAGCTGCAGCCGCTGCAGCATAATCTTGCAGAATTGTTGATTCACGGTCTCCGCCAAGAGCGCACGTGTGTTGCACTTATAAAATTCAATGACAGATGGCATTTGGAACTGGCGGCAATGTGTTCTGGTGAGCATCGGCATGCTGCTTATGGCAGGCCCTATGTCAGTGGAGGTGCCCCTCTGGTTGCTTGTCAGCAATGCTTTCCAGGACGTTGCATGATGTATCCACCACGTCAGCTTCAACTTAGGGTGCGAGCTCCAACAAGCACCAAGTTTTCAGCGACGTTGCCCATACTGCAGTTGCCTTTGCAGCCCGCAACGGGCCACATCTCTTTGCATCCTACCTATCCAGGCCATATCATTTCCTCATGATGACGGATATGGAACGTGCTCAGGACTTCTTCTGAGCTTGATGAGGACCCTTACTCGCATTCTGTAGTTGCCAGTTCGGCAGGTTTACCAGCAGGCAATCCGAGACGCAGCTGGAAGCTGAGGAGCAGAGGTCATCACTAAAAAGGGTCCCGGGTCTTGACAGCCTCAACAGGTGCAGGCTCAACGCAAGAAGCTGGGCCGCCGGCCGCGGGTCCTGGATGCAGGCCATAGCCGCAAGGCGTGAAACCATCTATCAGAACTCAGCCATCAGCTTTGTGCAGGTTCTGGCATTGGCTTGCTTGGGATGATGGCTGCGCCTGGGACCAAGCTGCTACACATCGTCAGAGTTCGCCAGTCAAGACAGAACCTACATTGCCATGACATGCCACGACCCAAGGTTGGAGGGCGCCGAGGTGTGGCTCTGTGAAGCAGTCTGGAGCCAAACTGGGGTCAAATGGTCGAAATTCGGGAGAAGTTCGGCACAACAACTAGAAGAATTATGCGTCAAGGTGCCTTTGATGCGGCAGACTTGTCGCGAGGCTTTGGAAACAGACTGTGGTCTGACGCCTACAGATCTGCCGATGCGAGGTGGTCGCCGCAAACGCAGCACTGGTGACAGAGAAGCGTGGTTTGGTGAACCTGCTTCCTCCGATGATGTCAACGAGGACAGCTTTCAGAAGGGTGCTGGTCGCTGGTGCTTCAATCAAAGTGCCCGCTGGTCAGGCTTGTGATCGGGGAGGATGTAGCAGAGAAGTTTGACATTGCCTTAGCCTAAGGCTCAGTTGAGGGGTAGGCCACTGCTTCTCACGATCGTGCGGAGGTGGTCTCGGAGGTCAGCATCCCGGAGAACAGCACAGAACCACTTTGAGGTTTGTAAACTGCATGTACAGGTGATGGACCTCTGGTGTTTGGGCATGGAGCACAGCTGGCACGGAACATTGCGCCCGGACCCGGCACAGACTTCCCAGGTGAGGGCATCATCCCCACCATGCGGCACGCGCACAAGAAGCTGCTGGCAGAGACTGGCGTGCTGGAGCCTTAAGGCTACATAGGTTGTTCACAAGAGCTCAAAAAGGTGCAAACAGCAAAGGGAGACAGCACCAGGATGCTACCTGGGCGCTTGCAGATCTTCGTGCAGCCTCTGGAGCTTTCGCTCTGGGGCCAGCCTGGCCCTGAGGACAAGCAAAGCGTGCGCGTGCATGGCGCAGAGTTGGTAAACTTAGTGACTCAGGGTCGAGAAGGAGAACGGCTCTGTGGACCTGCAGGCGTGCAACGCGTGCAAAGCGTGCAAAGCGCAGGCCAAGACGCTTGGTTGCGTCCTGGCTGTCCAGGCAATCGGCAAACACTTCAAGAGCAAGCCTGGACCCTTGCTTTCTGGATGATATTGAAGAATCCGGCCGGCACAGACAAGCACAGCATTGCAAGCCAGGTTTTCGGCCGTTCGGATCGACCAATTTCCGAGGCATCTCTGAGGGAGGTGGAAGCTGTTGAGGATTTCGGTTTTGCAGCAGCCTCCAGGCGGTATCTGACAGATGAACCTATCGCGGCCCTTGAGGTCTTGGGAAGGGCGTGATATGGTGTGGTAATGCTTGTTTGGTGTGGTGTACTGCCCTGTGGTTCAGGTGGACCTGGCTCGGGTGCCTGCGCAGCCCGCTGACGGGGAGCCTTTTCTTGAGCACTGAAGTCATCGGCCATTGCGGGCAGCCGTTTCGTTTTCAGCTGTTTTGTGCGCACCAGGAGCCCAACGTGGAGAACGATGCGGCCTGGCAGAAGTTCATACTTCAGGGCAGTGTTCAAGAACTGCTGTGAGGTCAAGCTGTGCATCCGCATGGGTCGGGCTCTTGGTGCTCTCAGCAGTGTACTTGGTCATGCCGTCCTGTTTGAGGTGGCAAGGCTGCCCTGCGGGCAAAGATCTCCAGTGCTAAAGCCTAAGTCGAACCCCAGCCTGCACCAAAGTGTCTTGTGTTGAGCAAAAGAGCGCATCCCCAAGGTAAAAGTGGACCATAGTGGTATGCTGTCAGGCAAGTACTTAGTGGTGGCATTTCCGGCACAGTTGATTCGGCTTGTCATCTCTGCTCAAAGGTTATGGCATTTGGTGGTCTGCAGACCTGGCAAACGGCAATGCAAGTGCCTGAGCAGGAGGGGCGGCTGGAGCAGGAAGTCTTCTTGAGCCCTTGACTGTGCCGAGGTTGTGACCAGCAACCCCAGCAATCCCCAGAGGTGCGGCTCAGAACATCTGCATTGAGGTCCAAGCTTTTCTGTCAAAGGAGCTGGAAGCAGCTCATACGTTGGCTTGATGCACCTCGTTTTGTGACAGCTGGTGAGGACATCCAGGCTGGAGGATTTGAAATGTCAACCGCGTCAACGATAATATGGTTTGACTTGTGTTGCGACAGGTCCTGACCTGCTACAACGATCACCAGGCTTGTCGTAGTTGTCCAAGCATGTTACGGTGTGAAGTTTTTGACTGAGGTCAATGTAGAGGACATCTTCCTGCCGCGAGAGATGGTCGACAAGTACCAGGAGGTTTGTGGCCTTGGGATGAGCTGTTCCGTCTGGGCTTTTTGGTTGCTTGTTTGTGTTCAGGAGCTGCTCGCAGCAAAGCAGGCGCAGACAGCGCCGACAGTGCCGACAGCGCAGTGTGGCTGCCTGAGAGTTATATTCCCCGTGGGTTGCTGCAGGCAGCATGTCTGCATTAAATCAGCGCCTCGCATCGCCTCGCAACAGAAATTGGTGCGCTGAGGTGCCGTGCCTCGTGCAGCGCACGAGAACATTGAGGAGGCAAGTTGCTTTTGTGCAGGTTTTCCGTTCGAGTCCTGAAAGAAATTCTACCCTGACTGATGCTCGACAGGAGATCCTGGAGGTTGACTGACCGCTGGGAGGGTGTTGAACTGCATGTTCTTATCTAGGCTTAGGCATTGCTTAGGGCCGCTAAGCCGGCCAGTGAACCAAACCAAAAGGTGTGGCAATGGTCAGCAAGTAATGTGCTATTTCTTTCATGCCATAATTGTACGCAACTTTGGGTGTCGCGGCTGCGTAGCTCAATGGACAAAGTGCCATGGACATCGAAGACTTGCATCTCGCTTGCTTGGCTGAGATCCCGGAAGGAGGCGGTCCTTGCCGGCTAGAGCTCGACGAGTCCGAGCCCCACGAACATCGCGAACCACTTCAAGGATGCGAGGGCCCGAAGCTGTTTGCTCGGGTCACAGAGGCTGACCGGGCTCGAGCACTGGAGCGGCCACCCATGATCCTATCTTGCTCGCGCCGGACAGATGTGCCCTGGGCTTTTCTGCGGCAGTATTTGAAGGCCTTCCGCGAAGGATTCATGTACGTGCGGAGCCCTGTGACCAGGCACATGGATCCTGTGTGTCTGAAGCCATATGATGAGACGACTGGCAAAGGAGTGACGTGCATCAGTTGGTGTCTCCAAAGCACATGAGCTACACATCCATGTTACTGGTTCACCAATTTGATTATGTGATGGTTAAGCTAGTCTACGCAACAATTCAGCTGAGGTGGTCCAAGAACTATTCGAAGTGGATTGAGGAGTTTAAGCGTGACGGAAGCATCCTCCACAGCTATCGGATGCACATGTTCAATTTCACGGTGAATTCTGACGACTTGACTCTGGAGCCTGGGCTCTCGGCACCCTTGCCAGAGCGTCTGCAGCAAGTCACTTGGCTGGTGCGGCCCTCGGATCACAGCGTGCTTGCTTTGCAAGCTATTTGAGCTTTGAATGCTTTGATGAACAAATGACACACACGCACACACATATGCATATATATATATATATGTATGAGCGATGGTGTTTGACTTCTTGAGGCCAACCGCTTTGGGCCACATGCGGTCAATGTTCGCTTCGACCCGATCGTCCACTACCGGCGTCTGCCTGAACTCAAGATCCGTGATAACTTGCAAGACTTTGAGCAGATAGTGCGCCACCTCCAGAGCCTTGGGATCCGCCACATTACCTTCAGCTTCTGCAAGCCCTACAAACAGTCTGTTCGAAACATGTACTCAGCTGGTGTGGAACTGGTCGGGCTATCGATATCACAGCAGCACCAGGTGCCGTGAGCAAGCTTTTCCTCACTCCCTCTCCCTCTTCCCTACCTCCCGCCCCTCCTCCTGTCTCTGTGCTCTTGAAACCCTGCTCAAAAATAGACAGGTCTTAGATCGCTTGCTGCCCTTGGCGGCCAAACACGGCGTTGAGCTTCGCTGCTGCTGCGATACTGGCCTCGTGGGGCACCGCGCTGCGGTGCCTGAACCCGAGGTGCGGAAGGTGCGAAGATGGGGCCTCAAGAAAGAAGGCACAGCGAAGGAGGCACGCCAGCTCCTCGCCACGCCCACAGCCCCGGAGGCAGGACTCTAGAAATATAAGGACAACAGACAGTCAAGGAGCATGAGCAAAGCGTGAGTGACGTACCTGGAGGTTGGGGAGTCGCGGTGCCTAGATGCGCGGCTAGCAGATCGGCTAGCCAAAGAGCTGGGCATAAAGGTAACCTTCCCACATCAGAAAGATCGAGGACAGCGTGAACAGTGCAACTGCACGGGTAGCAGGGAGATTGGACAGTACGAGCTCCAGTGCCATGGCCTCAGTTGTTGCTCATGTAATCTGCATGGGATCGCTCAGGGCTCAGGGTTGTCTCCAAATATCTGGCTGGCACAACAGGCCCCCATTCCTGCCTCTACTGCTACGCCAACCCAAAGCCTGTGCAGCCTGGCGCGCCTGGCGGCGGTTGAGACCGATGCTCTCACAATGTACTGTACAGCTAACACGCCGCCAAGTTGAGATCAGGTGCATCAAGCTGTGTTGCACAAAAAATGTTCAAGGGAACGGTTTTGGGCAAATTGAAATCAGAATTGAGAACTGGAGATCTTGTACTCTGTCCTGCTGGTGTGGCTTTCAACTAGAAGACTTTACGCATGCCATGCGAACCCAAAGGATAGAAATCTCTCAGGTGTGCTTCAGTGTGAGTGGCGCATGGCTACTGAGCCTAAGATGTTGCATAAGTGGTGTGCTCAGCAGCCATTTGGTGAGAGGTGTGCGTCCATGTTGCGGCTTGTAAAGATTGGAGTTTTTGAGATGTCAAGCACTAGTGAATTTCTCGCGCGGACTTGTCAGACAATTCTGTGGCTGTCTAATGACTGATTCTTCACGAACTTGAATGACAATTTTTGTTGGACTGTTGGCAGGCATTTTGAGCATGGGATTACAAGCAACCTGGCGATTTCGGAACTTACATCTCTTCGGTTTCAGAAAGAGCCGCAGTGTTCTTACTTTCAGGATGAGTAGGGCTTCGCCGTGCAGTGGCCTTGTGCGCCTCTACCGCTCATTGCGAGATGCGACCAGGCGTGATATTGCAATTGAACCACGTTCAGCTTGTGTAAACGGATCCCAGCGGCACGTCTGAGCCAGGCATAGAAAATTGTCAGTGAACAAGAGTGGACAGAACCTCAGCAGAGTTTGCCTTTGGCTTCGCAAAAGCTTCTCGGCCAAGTGCTCCTCCTTTCAGGTAAGAGGTATCCCTTGCCTGATGAGTGAAGAGCTGAGACCGCAGTCTGTTTTCATCAGCGTTTTCCAGCATAGCATGATCCGGTTTTGCAATCATCGGAGCGCACCAACATTGCTGTATTCTGAATTCTCTCCCTGACGCATGATCTATGGTGGACGCCGCCATCAACTGGTAAACGCCCAAAAGTTGCCCTTTCCGACTGTCAAGATATTGAGACGATTTACAGCATCCATGCCCTTACAGTACCGCCCCATCACCAGAGCATCCAAGCCCAGACACAATGACCAGTGCAAGCAAGCTCAAATCAGGACAACGTCCGTCCCTGGGTGCATCCACTACGATAACTTCGTGCATCCGTTTGTGCTATATGCCCTGGCCAGATACAGCACCATGCCAGCAAGCTCGATCGCAACAGACAGGGGATCAACCCACAGAAACGCAATAAAGACGGGAAGCGGCTCTGCTGAAAGAAATGCGTGCCCATGACAGGGTAATTATCGTTGCAGCCCGTTGAGGCCCGGCTTCTACATCTGCTGCTGCTCAGGCTGCTGATTTACTGCAGCTGTGACCGGAAGCCATGTCGTGCAGTTTCGCCCATGCCCTCCCGAGCAAGGGCAAGGGCCAAGAACGAACATGCCAGGGCACCAGTGCGAAATGCTGGTGTTTGCAGTCTATTCTCCCGTCTCACTTCACACTTGCTTTGGCTGTTCGGAATCGCAGCAAACCCAAGCGACAAGCACTTTTAAACTTCAAACAAACCCTCAAAACCCCACAATTGCGAACATGTTCTGAATACTCCTTGAAGGCCACTGCTTGGCACAGTTTCGCTTCAGCAGCTTGCCAAGATGCACCTACAACAGCCTTGAGAAACCTTGAGATGTTAGGTTACAGGCACTCAAGTGGGTATTTTTTTCCTGAGCTAACTGCGAACTTTGAGGAATACGTCCCCGTTTTTTGGTGGGGTGCAATTGCATCGAAATTTGCACATGCTCGCACGGCCATGCAAGTTATAAACTTCCTGTGCACTTTTCAGAGCAAAAGCTTTGTACGGATACACGCGCATGACACGAGAATGATGGTTGTCTCCATGACTCGGGATCTTATCTTCTGATCATAATCAAGAAAGATCAAGCGTGGGATGAGTTGCCATTCTCGGCAAAAACGAGCAACGCCAGACACACCAGGAGGCAGATCAAACAGGCTTGGGCAAAGTCGGGATAGCTGGACGTTGTGCTCAAAGTGCTGGGTCACTCTGAGTCGAACAGAGATGTGAGGGTCAAACAAGCTTCCCTGCATACCATGGAACATCAGGTTGATCTCTCTGGAATCAGCCATTGGTCAACAGCTTCTGTTGAGTGGGCTGGCACCTCAACGGTTTTCAAGTGTGTCAAGTGGAAGTGTTCTTACTGGAACTGCTGAAGTTTGATGTCGTCTAAGGATGGCTGATTCTAAGCTGATCGAATCACGAATGCCACAGGATTCAATCCATGTTATTGCTGGGTTGTGGTTTGACTTAGCACTTCTTTGGTTTTGCTGTTGAAATTCTGAAGTCTGCACAGCAAGTTCGTGTTTCACTCTTCTCCTTTCGCGCTGAGTCGGTTGGGATGCCAACTTACCATGTGACTGTCTGCGAAGGCATTGTGGTAGCAGCCAGGTATAGTAAATGACTCTGTAGACGCCTTGACCGGTAATAAATGCTCGTCAAATCGAGACACGAGATGTGTCTGAAGCACGCAGAAAATCTGAAGCTTGCGGGAATGAACTCTGCGCTGCCTGAGTTGTCAAATGCGAAGCAGAACAGCATCCAAGCAGAGGCTGACTTGCATGTCTTGGACACAAGGAGCATCCAGCTTTCTGCGCCATTGCTTCTGCAATGACCCTGGCCCGTTCACGCGGCGTGGCTTGCCGATCCAAAGATCCCGTCAACAACAGTACATGCATGCTGGCATGCTGTGTGTCAAGGTTGGGCCGACAGACCAGCGACGTTTCATGGAGGTCTTCCGAGAGGCCACGCCATCCTCTCTCGTGCCATGGTCAACCTTGCTTGCGTGCGTGGCTGAGAACGCTGCGAGGGGCGGCACTGCTATTTTCACGGATGCAGGAACAACGGATTTTGTTGATGTCGCAAGCGACAGGGGGGAAATTTCCACAGAAGCCGTGGCAATGCAGGCAAAATGGAGACGGGAGTTACCTGAATCAGCGGATTTGCTCTGCAAAAGGTGAAGACACAAAATGCCCTCCCGCGTGTAGCAACGACAGGGCAGTTAAGATCAGGCGGGTGTGGCACTGCAAAGGACAGCAACTGACGAGCGGACAAGGCAGGGACAGCAGGATCCCCCGCAAGCAGATCTGGGTGCACGACAAAAGGGAGCCGCAAAAAGTAAGGCAGAACAGAGGATCTTCAAATATTGGAGCAGCAGGTTCAGGCGCTGGCACTGCAGTAATGCGATGCGGAACTCGTCATCTGGACCATCCCGCTCCGCGCACCAAGGTGCATGGCATGGTTAGCCCATGCCCTGGCTCGGAGACAGCAGCGTTCGGTTGAGCATCAACGCCAGCGAGTAGCACCTCGCGCTTGTCAACCACTGTTCAGGCGGTGTGCTGCAACCTCGCCCCGGCCAAGCAATTTCATCTACATGTTCGAACACCATCTCCGCCAGACGGCCAGTGGGACACCAGTCTGTGTCATGCCTACGCATGCCAAAGGCTTATGTGTCAACAAGTTGCCTCATCAAGTTGACCGTATTTGCGGGAACGGTGCCCATCGGCCCGCCGCCATCGGGCACCTGCAACCTTGCGCTGCAGGGCCAGCCGCCTGTAGCACCCATGGTGCGCAGTGGGAAGGTTGAAGGGCCTGGCCGCGGCATCTCCTTGCCACGACTGTCCTGAACTTCGCTGCGTTCGGGAGGACCCAGCGTAAAGGTGGCCGGGGGTCGGACGATGCGGGCTCATATGGGCTCATCAGTGGGCACCGTCCCCGGAATTGTCTGGTTGATGATAACACAAAAGCGTAGGAAAGCAGCCCGCCCCAGTAAGAACCGCCAGAACATTCATTGTCAGAGTGGTTTCGTGGTATTGTTAACGATGTGTGGGATAGACGGTCTCATTACTTTTTTCCATAAAGCTCAACAATTCCATGCATTTGCAAGTACTTGTTTCACACAAATTTGCAAGTACTTGTTTCACACAACAACTATCCGACAAGAACACAAACGCAGCACATAAGGAATCTCCTCACTCCCATCAAATTTTCCATAAGTTCATTTGACACAACAAGCCCTTGTGCACGCACGCTTTACGTGCAACAAACAACCGTAAACAAATCATGTAGGTATTTGCAGTTACATGTCTTGTGGATGTTGTATCACCTGTTCAGTTGTACACTAGTTCATTCCAGGCCCGCACGCACTCCCAGGCGTGTTGCTTTGCTCATGGGGCTGGGACAGCGGGCTGCTGGGCCCATGGACACCCACTGAAAAACATGACTTTGACCATGTGTGCATCCACGCTAGACCACGGCGGCAGGGCCAGAAAAAGGGGGCTGGCACCAAGAGCCGACCACGCCACAAAGTCACGTAATACATTAAAGATAAGAAGCACAAAGCAGACACGGCTTTTATCCATGTGTGCGGTATGTGCGAGTGGGGAGGGGTGACGTCCACACAAACCAACTATACCGGGGGAAACCCCGAAAACGTGTGAAATGTGCGTCGCTTGAATGTAGTGGCGAAGACTAGCTGCCCATCGTCGCGCTTAGCAGATAAGCTGGTACGGCACCTGTCCAGTCACGAATGCATCATGCGCAAGCTACAGGGCTTGAGGCCCTCAAACAAGGGTCCTTGGGCTCGACATGCATTTGCGCAAACCATGCCATTGGCCATGAGGGGTGAACAGTCTCAACAAAAATTCGTGTTGGGTTTTTTCGTCCGATGAGCAAACGTTGGCAGAGGACCACAAAAGCGACGGACACAGCGATTCATCCATCGTGCAAAAGCCTGGAAGCCGTAGTCGGGCCCAGGTATGCTAGCTGAGCGTAGGGCGCTGTCAATCGCATGCGCCCGTGACCTCGATCCGGTATCTCGCGCCTTTCTCTTGTCGCAAGCTGGCCCTGGCGGGCCGCAAGCTGTCGCTGCCTTACGGACCGCCGGAATTCGCGCCTCCTCCGGGCGTCTCTGCCACACCGCACCCCGTCAATGCCGCTGCCGGGGCAGGCTATAGACGTGTTGG